AAGTGTTTAAAACACTTATTTGATGTATTTGGCTAATAAATCAAGTGAGACACTTTAAAAATCACGTCATTTGAGTAAAAACCACGGCTAGCCAAGTTTACGCCGTTTTGCGTGGTTTTTGTCAAACGACTAAAAGCGAGAGATGGTTTTCAAGGTGTTTTTGTTGGAGAACCGTTTAAACATGCCAAAGAGTGAAAGTAGATCATAAAATGCTGAAAACCACTTGGTTGGTTTGGATGCCAAAAACCAAACCCGACAACCGAAAGCCGAACGCTGGTTTCTGAAAGCCGAACACTGGATGGCTTGGTTTTTGGTTTGGGCGAACACCAAGCATTTTTTAATGACTTAAACAAGTTTAAAACTATTTTTATGATGTATGAAATGCAATGAGAGTTTTTAGCCTAAAGAGCCAAAGTGTAAAGATTGGGTCGGTCTTGATCACAATAAAGACCGACTCAATACTATGATTAAGGTCTTCGTTCTTGGTCTTCGTTTAGCTCTTGCTCTTATCTTCATTCTTCGCCTTGTATATTCAATGTTTGACTTGATCACGGCAGTTTGGCATTATCAAAACCTGTTACAAAAACGAACACGGCTTTAGTACTAAAACGTGACAAGCCCGTGTTTTAACACAAATAGCGTCGGTACCCCTCGTGGTTTGCAAAATAGGCACTAATACCCCCTCCGTTTTCAAAACTTATTTCTAAAGTCTCTGTGGTTTCAAAATGCTGCACCCGTGCCCTCTCTGATCATTTTCCGGCCATTTTTCCGGCGAAGAAGAGGGCATTGGTGCATATTTTCTTAACCATAGGAGGTATTAGTGCTGATTTTTATTTCTCGTTTATTTTTTGTTTTTTCCATTTTTCTTTTTTCTGTTTCATTTATTAATTAGGGTTTTTAAAAATTGTTTTTATAATATTCTTAAAATTTAAAGTTATTTTTGTTTGAAAAAATAAAATATAATGCATATGTACGTCTGAAATTAACAAAAAAAAATTTCCTGAAAAAAAGATTTTTTTGAGAACTTCGAAAAAAATGAGGAATAAAATAAGAAAAAAATAATACAAAAATTAAAATGAATATCTTTTTTGGAAATCTCAATTTTAAGGACTTTTTTAGGCGTATCCAAATTTTTTTGTATAAGACTTTTTTTTGCGTATTTTAATTTTTTTTATTTCATTTTTATGTATTTTTATATTTTTATTATGGATTTTTTTGAACTTTCCAAAAATTTATTCTAAAAAACAAAAAGTGAAAATGTTTAATGTGAGATAGATGTAATGCATGTTAATTTTTTTATTTTTATTTTTATTTCAAACACAGAGTCTTAAAATTTTTAAAACATTATAAAAGTTGAAAATATATTTTTAAAAAAATCTAGGAAAAGGAAAAAGAGATATAAAACATTTAAAAAAAGGGAAAACACAAATAATAAACTAAAATAAGAAATGTGCACGAATGCCCTCCTATGGTTTAGAAATTATGCGCGAATGCCTCCTCTTCGTCAGAAAATGACCGGAAAATGATTAGAGGGGTTGTGGGTGCAACGTTTTGAAACCACGTGGACTTTATAAATAAGTTTTGAAAACAGAGAATGTATTAGCACCAATTTTCCAAACCACGGGGGGCACCGGAGCTATTTGGCCTTCAAACTAAGTCCATGACTTTAGAGTTTAGCCAAAGCCCAAAGTCCATTGATATTTAATGAACACAAATTATTGACTTTAAAATATGAATAAGAATGCATATACAATAGAGCCCCTTAAGCCTTAAATTTGGGGTAAGTTGGAAGAAGGGGTTATGTTCCCATGGCAGTGGCGATTATGAGACCGTTAATCCGGCGGCTATTCTTGCACTCCTCAGCCACCATAGCCCCCCGGCCGACTCCTCCGGTATTCAACCTCCACGCGAAAATAAATTTCGCAACATCCTCCACTCGCTCCAGGAGAAACAGAGCAAGATCCAATGAGATTACAAGCAGCATCGCGCAGAAGAGCAGAAAGTCGCTACTCAATCGGAGGACCCGGTCGGAGAAGGAGATCGACGAGGAGAGCTTTCTAAAGCTCTACGGGAATGACGATTCTGCACATGTCCCAGTCTTGCTTGGTGAAGTGGTTGATGTTTTTTCATCTGTCCGACTCCGATCCTTCGTAGATTGCACTCTCGGCTGCGCTGGCCACTCCTCCGCGGTGAGTTTCTTATGAATCTTCCATATAAATTGAGCATTGAATGAGTAATTGACCATGCTAGCATCTTATAGGGTTAGATTGAACCAGGAGATCTTTCCATTAAAACTTTTCATTGTTTATAGTGAGAATTATCAAGTGCACTGTTTGTAGTTGAACACCTTTCATTTTTTCATCTCTCAAAATTGATGTTTATGTACTCCACTAATCATTTTGATAACGGTTGCAATGTGTAGGTGTTGTAAAAGTTTGAATTTATCGAGAATTTTAAAAATGTGTAAATGATTCCCACGTTTGGGGTTAAACATACTCTGTAGAAGTTTTTTTGGATTGAAGTTTGGTTTTTTTAAAAATGACCTTAACTACGTGTGGAATAGAAAATTTACATTTTTCAAATATTTATTTTCATTAATTACTATATTAAATTTATTAGCACCATCAGTTGTGAAACAAAATACAGCAAATAACATGAAATATAGCATATACTGCAACATAGAAAAGAAGCTTGAAAGTAATTTTAATTCTATTCATATATCCTCCCCAAACCAATTGCTTGACATAAGTAATGGTTATAAACAGCATATACGCTCATTTGAAATTATAATAATAGTTACTCTCACTTTTCTAAAATTTTCTTCCCATTAGATTTTTCTTAGTCATAATGTCTAAACTTTGATCATAGTTAAAGAATATTGAGTTATAATATGAGCTTAACATCATTCAGCTCACGGACAAGTGTTGGGCACACAATGTGGCATGTTGTTGACCAGATACAACTATACAAGGCTGATGATGTGGGACTTCTTATGTTATTAATTATTATTTTTTTTACAAAATATAATATTTTGGAGAAACTGTACCTCAATTTTGTAATTTTCAAACCTAAAGGCTCCTCCTTTAACCATTCTTTTTAGTTTGAATGTATGAGGGTAGTGCTTAAACATTAGTTTCTTTTTGTTATATCTTACTCCCACCATTTCAAAATGTTATTTACATTTGACTTTTCTTGGTAAAACTTTACAAACTTTGACTGTGATTTGTGTCAAAGTATAATTCGTCATAATATAAATTTAGTATAATTGAGTTCATTCTAAGATATAGTTTTGATATATCAAATTTTTATATCATTTATTTATGTACAAATATAGTTATTAATGGTCAAAGTGTCGCATTGGTGACCGTGAAAAGTCAAACATAAAGTTTTTTGGGGGGACAGAGGGAGTAGATGAATACTCCCTTTGTCCCGAGTTAAATTACGTTTGTTTTTCCACAAAGTTCAAGAAAAGTGATATTTTGTAGTTAATATTATGTAGAGAAGAGAAATAATGTGAACCTTTCAATGCTTTTCTTTAGAGAAACATGGAGTTTATTATGGGACGACCCAAAAAGAAAAATGAGAAGTTGATTTTAAGATGGAGGGAGTACTTGTTAGGTGTGACATTGATTGCATCTTTAATTTTTATGTGTCCCGCTGTGTTCTGTTCCTTGGCTATTCCATGCTTCTTAGACAAGAATTTTTAATGCTCTCTTTAGTTCCATGCTTCCTGAACTGAGATTTTTTATTTTGGGTGGATGTGCTATTGAGGATGAAATAGTCATATTGAAATAATAGTATGAAACATCCAAGTCCGAAATCTGTTTTTTGCCATTGATTATTTAATTTTATATGGAGTAAATCCTAATATTGTGTACGCATCTCTCAATAATTATTTGGACAAGGTATTTATATTTCATAGATAATTATTATTTATAAAAAATGAAAGTATTTATTATGCACAATAATCAATGAAGTAAATAAAGCAATACAAGTGCAATTTGGAAACTCTGAATAAGGTCAATACCACGATGTTTTTATTCTAATTATATTTTAAGCTCTTTCTGATTTGATCTGGTTTAATGTGGGCTGATCTAGTGTGATTCCAATAAGAATAAGTAATAAGAAAAAGTTGAAGAGAACATGCTCTATTTGGTTGGTTTCTCTTATTTGTATTACTTGGGATCTTGGCATGGTTCTGAACAGTGTTCTTACCGTTCTTTTTCATGCCATTATTTTATTCAAGCTGGTTTTTATTTTCGAGGTGTAATTACCAGATTATTCTTGCACATCCAGAAATGCAAGTTTATATCGGGCTAGATGTTGATCCGGTCGCACATCAAATGGCTCAAGACCGAATGAATGCTGTCTTAAAGGAGTCTAATTATTCTGTTTCAAAATTGAAGGTGCATACCTATTTGAAAAATTTTAAGGATGTGAAGTATGTGCTATGCGAGGTTGACAAGCAGCTAATAACTTCTGGAGTTGATGGGATCTTGATGGACTTGGGAATGTCCTCTATGCAGGTGAACTACTATCAAAGTTCACAAAAGCTTTAAAACTATATTACAAGTATTAATTTATCTGGCTCTTTATTATGCATGTCCAGCTATTCCCACTTTTTTTTTCATTTGCATGTTTAAATATGTTGTCCGGAGTCAAGAATCGCTCTGTATTGCATAATGTGATGGAGCTTTTTAGAGAACATGCTATTTTAGATCAAATTCTCTCAATTGATGCATTTGTAGGTGAATGATGCTCAAAGAGGTTTTAGTGTGCTGAAACGTGGACCCCTTGATATGCGAATGGATCCTAAGGTAGTTTTCTTAACTTAATTTACTTTACCATAATCTCTTCACTAGTTTAACACGTTGTTGTTACTAGGCTTGGAATAACTCTTGTTACACTGTGGATGAGCACAAAACTCACATGTCATGATGTCATTTCCTCCCTCTATGTTGCTTTAGTACTCTATGTGAGAACAGATGTACTCCTTCCTTTGAGATTTAATAGTACGTCTTTCCGTCTGGGTATGTAATTAGTTTGTTTGTTGCGATATTTGGAGAATAAAACCATATGAATTGCCCTGCATACCCCCGAAGTATAACAAACACACAGTGCATGTTACTCCAAATATTTGATCACAAATATCAAATAACAAACATACAAAGTGATTAATTTTGTCATTTTATTATAATTCTTGAATTTAATGGAGTCTGGGAACTGGACACATAAATCCGGACAGGGGAAGTACGATAAAGGTATGGTACTTGTTGAATAGAGCAGGATTCTTTTTCCAACACTTGTACTTTGTTTCATTCTAGTTTAAATGCTAAATGTCTCTTTTGAACTTCTATTCCCCATATGGTAGCAGCTTTCACCTGATTTGAACAGGTCTCTGGCAGGGAAGTCTAAAAGCAGAAGACATTTTAAATTCTTGGCCAGCTGATGAAGTGGGTCGAATTTTACGTGATTATGGGGAGGAAAGCAATTGGCACTTCCTTCAAAACAAAATCGTTACAGCCCGCCAGACTGGAGGGCTGCACTCTACTGGTCAACTAGTTCACCTCATTCAGAATTCAACTTTCAGGACAAAAGGTTGTTTCTCTTCTCCCCTTGTCAACTTGCAAATTCTTCTTC